CGCTAAAGAAGAGGGGAGGAGTTCTAAGGGTCACTTTGACCATACCAGAGTCAGTAAGAACTCTATGATAAATGGGAAAGGACAGGAAACCAGGTCAAAACCTTTACCATAAACAGACTTTTGAAACCACTTCCATTTGACAGTGTAACTCTTCCTAATGGATAGGTTTTGAGACTTTAATATGATTGTCATGGTCTCAGAAAAAAAAAAAGACATCTTGTTTTAGAAATCCAGCAGCCATGACATCAGAGGAAAGTACCTGAAATCCAGATGCATCTCTATGTTGTTCTCCTGGAACAAGAGTTCCTGACTCAGAAGAAAACTCAGTGGATCATTTCTGGAGAGAGCAAAAAAGCTCCAAGAAACTATTCTGCCATGCCCATATTTGAGAACCAGTTGAGTGGCTCAATTCTAACACATTTATTTAGAGCCTGGACTCCTTAGCTCTCCCAAGACCATGATTAATAAAAGGCCCAAGATGTCTCCAACCTGGACTGGCAACATTTGTGTCTGTCATTATCAGAGGAACAAGCTCAGAGAACCATTCCCTTCAAGATATCTTCTGGCAGTGTCTTAGTAGAGGGTCTTTGATCTGCTAACGGAGAAACACTATAATGTCCAAGCTATCAACACTTGGTTTGCATACTGATTTCAATTATACTTGTAAGAGTTGCATCTGCAAATCTGTAGAAGGGACAATAAAGGTGCAGTCAGCCATCAAGCCTAGCAATGACAGATAAAAATCTCACTGGCCTTCTATTGTGTCCACTGTCTGGATGAGATCTTGGAATCTGTCCTTGGTTCGAATTTAGCCCTTATATTAGTTAAAACCTGAGTTGGTGCCAAGGTAGATCTTGTATTTACTCACAGAGATCTTTGAAGAGGAATCAAGTCCGTGACAGGCATGAACTTCTCCAGTACAATATTGGGGATTGTGGCCAATCATATAGATATACCTGGAAGATGGTATGATGCAGATAAACTGTAAACACCACCAAGCACTTGCAGCTTGATTGAAAGTCAGTGGAAGCCTTTCCAGGGACTTCACTGGGCTTTAAATTAAGGCCTTGGTGAATACTACTGCTATCTCAGACATGCTGGCAGACTGTCATGAACCAAAGGTATTCTTCTGGTAACTATTGCCCGAACTGCTGAAACCACCTCTTATGGAATCTAGGTGAAAATTTCCTCGAAAAAACAAATGGACTCAAACCTGAAGTTCTGGCCAGGGTGTTTGAAGCTTTCATCTTTTCCTAAGGACTC